AGAGCCGCCTCGTTCTCCTCCAGTGCTGTACGTAGACAACAAGGCCATGCTGGCCTTGTGTCGAGAGCAGAGACTGGAGCACAGAACGAAGCACATTGCTCTCCGCTACTTCCTTGCTCGTGAGCTACAGCAGCGTGGTCAGCTGCGGCTTGCGTACGTGGCCTCTCAGGCCAACACTGCTGATATCTTCACCAAGGCACTTGCGCCTTGTGATCATCAGCGCTTCTGTACTCAGCTGGGTCTTGTGCCTACCTTGCCTCACTTGCTCACCCCTTGACCTTGTTTGTACTGTTGCATATATATATGCACCTGCTCTTGCTTGTCTAGCCTTATATGTATATGTAATCCTGCATGTGAACTGGCCTTGTGGCCTTGACCTTGTGCTCGGAATGTGTGGTGACTTTGGGATTCACCCTGAGCTTGCTTTGCTTTGCTTGACTGGTCTTGTGACCCCTTGTTCTCCCCCACTTTGCCTATGGGGGTGTGTCAGATTTATATGACATAGCTACTGTAGGCTATAGTGGAGTAGCACATATGGGGTACAATTTTCTAGGGTTTACATTTGTACCCAACTTTCCCTTAGTCATTTTTCATTCCTCGTTTCTTCTCACTTGTTGGGAGCCACAAGCCGTTTTTTTTACAGCACGCTTGGATACATGCACAAGGATCCTCTTACATTCACATATCATACATGAACATTCATTGTAGAAAAACCCACCAGGACATGAAAGTCCATGTGGATAGCGCACACGTACTTGATTTCTTCGGACTCGTTGTGACGTGTATACCCCATTTGGATTGACCATTTCACAGCCCCTCACCTTGAAGTCTTTCGTCTTTTTATGAAGTCACACCACCAAAAGGGGAAGGATATCGATCTGGCGTGCGATCTGTCAACATCATTGCACTTTTGTTAACACAAACTCGTGTCTTGAGCATGCACGTTACGAGCATAATGCTGGAGGATGGATTGGAAATATTTGGTTGGTTGTCGCTTCTATGCGCACATCTAACCTTATAGCTGATGTGATTCGGACCTTTTGGTCTATACAAAAGGTGGATCTCGTCGAGAGGCGGGTTGCTTGCCCTCACACACCCACTTCACTGATGATATTCCATGTCGTAATGGCTCACGTTTCATAAAATTTCCCATATCGTATAGCATGGTTTTTCCATTGCGTACTAACCGTTGGTTCCCCTTTTCATGGCTCCTGCATCTATTGAACCTTGAACACATAGTGCTACCGTATTTACAGAGGCGCTAAATTCGATACTGCATGTTTTGCTGTTAATTGACAACGAATGCCCTATCAAGGGCACCGGATTGTAAGCTGGTTACACAAGCTGTATGCATTGTACACATTGGAAATGCGTCAAAGTTTGGTATGTGCTTCACAACTCCTTTGCAGCAACATGCCACTAGTCTTCAGCCTTAATACTCGAGGCAACATCGTTTGCATACCATGCAACCAGTGCATCAACATGTTAACGTGAGCAATACGTCATCGACCGTGATCTACGGTAAATACGACTTAGTCATGTAGTCATGCTGCGAAAGGCCCGCCCTACATCGAAGTGACGTGATGTTATTGCACAATGTTGACATTATGCTCAATTCAACAACTATGGTTAGTTACCATAACTTCCCGACTTCATCACTTACGTGCTCGGTCGTCGGATAAACTGTGAAAATAGTAGGTAGAGTTAGGAGCCATAGCTAGGTAAGTCCTAGCTAGGCAAGAGAAGTTTAGGCAAAAGAAGAAGAGTTCACTAGCAGCAATGAGGATACATATAGCAAACCCTAGATGGGTTGTACTCGCTATAGAGCACCCCACTACAGGCTAGAGAATAACATTCTGACACACCCCCATAGCCAAAGTGGGGTGTAATCAGTACAATGAGCAAGCAGGTATAGAGCAGGAGTTCACAAAGGTAAGCAAAGCTAGAGCTAATCACAGCGGGCAAGTGAGGAGGAGGAGCTGTGGAGGTAGAGAAGATGGGAGGCAACGACTGAAGCTGCAGAGGCACGGGCACAGGAGCGGCTGACTCAGAGGCTACCGAAGCAAGGGCGACGGACTACTGGAGTAACTGGCTCGGCGGCTATAGAAGAGCGGCAGGAGCAACGGACCCACTGGCGACTGGTGCAGCAGGCTCACTGGCTACCGAAGCAAGGGCGACGGACTACAGGCGCTGCAGGCGACACGACAGGTACCTCCACACAACCTCCTCCAACTGCCCCACACCCTCGACACACACCCACTGCTCAAACCCTGGCTCCACTCCCACGCACCCCCCTAAAACCCTAAACCCTAGGCTCCCACACACCCACCCCCCTCAGCGGCAGCTGCAGCAGTGGGAGACCAGGGAGGAGGAGGAGCAAGGGGAGTAACACACAACCGCCACCCCCACACTCCTCACCTCCAAACCCTAATTCAGGAGAACGGGCAGCAGTAGGGGTGGGGCACCGTCAGAAGCACGGGGGACAGCGAGCAGCTCAGGGACAGAGAGGAACGGGCCGCCCACGGGCCTGGCACAGCCCGACGAACCGCGCGCAGGCGGCCCGAGCCGCGCGCGGGCCTGGCGCAGCCCGTACGGGCCGCGCGCGGGCCTGGCGCAGCCCGTACGGGCCGCGCGCGGGCCTGGCGCAGCCCGTACGGGCCGCGCGCGGGCCGGGCGCAGCCCGTACGGGCCGCGCTCGGGGCTGGCGCAGCCCGCGCTGGCCAGGACGGGCGACGGGGGACGACGGGCTGGTCCCCGTCGCCCGTCGAAGCGCCCCCCGGGGGCGACGCGCGGACCGACGGGGCAGAAGGCCGCCGCGCGCCTCGGGGCGCACGGCGGGCAGAGAACCGCCGCGCGCCTCGGGGCGCACGGCGGGCAGAAAACCGCCGCACGCTCCGAGCGCGCGGCGGGATGAAAATTCCGTCGCACGCCACGGGGCGTGCGACACAGAGAGTGGCAGTAGCAGCGGAAGCAGTGAGGTGGTGAGCCCACCCACAGGATCGACCCAAGGGGATCGACCTGCTCTGATAGCATGTGAAAATAGTAGGTAGAGTTAGGAGCCATAGCTAGGTAAGTCCTAGCTAGGCAAGAGAAGTTTAGGCAAAAGAAGAAGAGTTCACTAGCAGCAATGAGGATACATATAGCAAACCCTAGATGGGTTGTACTCGCTATAGAGCACCCCACTACAGGCTAGAGAATAACATTCTGACATAAACGACTAACATCCTCGAACGACTGCCAAAGGGTTTTATTTAGGTTCTCTTACGAGATGGATGGCGCCTCATCGCTACTGACGATTTCTTGCGACAATCACTGTGCAACTTATTGCTCACTCGATTCTTACGCGCATCTGATACTTCTTTCATTGTTCTCTTCTTGGGAACCTCCCCCACAATAGTAGGTGAGGGTATATAGTTCCTCCATTCCATTCCGTCCTTCCCTACTAAGGTAAAACCCTGAGTTCTAGAGCCTTGCTCCCGACGCACCTAATGTCTCTTATCTCCTATGACGACTGCTCTGCAGACTCCTTGGAGAGTCTTGTCTTAATATGTAAAATTTTTAAATACAATTTTCAAAATTTAAAGAGTATGACAAGACTTGTAAAGGATTATGCAGTAAGGAGTCATCTGCTCCTTATCTCGTGGCAGGTCCACAGACCTGCCACCTAGTCGAATCATTTCTAGATCTGAATCTAGAACCCACCCTCCCGCCCTTACGCTAGTTAGTAGCCTCGTTAGCCTCGTATCTATACCAGTGGTAGTTATTTTCGTCTCGTTATATCCTCATTATCTTTGTAATTTGCAATCTAGTGTGCTGTATGATTGAGATCTGAAATATGACGACTGCTCTGCATGACGACTGCTCTGCAGACTCCTTGGAGAGTCTTGTCTTAATCGACAACAAATGGATCATCAACGCTGACCAGACGCCGCTGTGGCTGGGGATGCCGGCGTCTACCACCGTGGAGCAAACGGGCGTGAAGTCGGTGCCCATTAAGTGTGGTGGTTACTGGAAAGAGAGGGTTACGGTGATGCTGGCGTGCACAGCAACGGGGGAAAAGCTGAAGCCGTGGGTGTTTTTCAAGCGCAAGACCGAGCCAAAGGAGACTTCCCAAACGGTAAGCTCTGGTTTATTGTCCATGTTATTCCGTGTTTGGTTTATCTTAAATTTAAAACTAACAAGCGTCTCCGATTGTAAGCATATGTCATCGTGGCGTGCCACGAGAACGGATGGATGGACGCCACGTGAGTCAAGCGATGGCTCGATGGGGCCGTCATGCCCTTCATCAAGCCGAAGTTCGGTGTGCGGGCGAGGAGCACGATGCTCGTGCTGGATTCCTAAAGTGGCCACCTGATGGACGAGATGAAGAAGAAGTTTGCCAAGCTCAACATCGTGCCGGCAGTCATCCTAGGGGGGTTGTACGGCATAGTTACAGCCCCTGGACGTGTCGGTCACAGTGCAAGCGAGGGGTAGCAGTGAATAAGCCCCGATGTGCTTCGGCACATGCGTTTTTTCAAACGCCTCAAAGAGAATCGTCAGGGCTGAGCCAGCTGCAGACAAACTGCGAATAAGGGCTGGTAATGAGCCCTGATTCGCTCGCTTGGGCGAGCGAGAGATAGAAGCCGTGATTCGCTTACGCGAACGAGGACAGGCCTTGGTGTATAGAAAACTTAGATGGGCTTGACAATGGTTTAGACCGGCTTCAGACGACAGCTATTGTTTGTGGTAATGTCCCAGGATTCAGTGCAAGAAAGCGTGTCGTTTGCAGAGAGAAAGCGTCGGAAGGATTGGCGTTACTAGGTGACTTGTGAGTCGACTCAATCGTCAGTGACGGCGGCTTTTGAGGCGCCTCAGAAGTCAAGATCTCGTGGTAGGAAGCGGCAGCTTGTGGAGAGAAGGCGTCGGAAGGGGTGGTGCTTCTAGGTGACTTGTGAGTCGACTCAAATGTCAGTGACGGCGGCTGTGGTAGGGCAGCGGCAGCAGTGGCCGCGTTTCCGCGCTCAAGCTCCGCCCGTTCCGCCACCACTGCCTGGTAGAGGGGGAACGGGGGGAAGGCAGAAAAGGTGGATCTGGAACCAACGGCTCCCCACTGAGGAGTTTCCGCGCTCAAGCTCCGCCCGCTCCGCCACCGCTGTCTGGTAGAGGGGGAACCGGGGGAACGCACAAAACAGGAGGATCTTGAAACCAACGGCTATCCCACTGAGGAGATTCCGCGCTCGAGCTCCGCCCGCTCCGCCACCGCTACCTGGTAGAGGGGGCCGAGAGGCAGAAAAGGTGGATATGAAACCAATGGCTATCCCACTGAGGAGTTTCCGCGCTCGAGCTCCGCTCGCTCCGCCACTGCTGCCTGGTAGAGGGGGAACAAGGGTAGAGGCAGGAAGGAATAACGTAAAACCGACTGATTTTTCTATTCTTCAACCATGAACTATAGCGGCGGGATAATAAGTGCGAGAGAGCGGCGAGAGGGGAGAGTAGAGGGGAGAGTAGCGTCCGTCGGACGGAGTGAGGAGAGGAATGAGGCGATGGGGCAATGGGGGACATGATCTCTGAAGACAACACCGTGGCGAACGACGGCGGGAAGAGGTAAGTGAGAAGAGGGGAGAGTAGAGGACCGAGTGACGAGAGGAATGGGCCGATGGGGCAATGAGGGAGATGATCTGAAGCAACACCGTGGCGAACGATGGCGGGAAGAGGTAAGTGAGAGGAGGGGAGAGTGGAGGATCGAGTGACGAGAGGAATCAGGCGATGGGGCAATGAGGGAGATGATCTGAAGACAACACCGTGGCGAACGATGGCGGGAAGGGATAAGCGGGAGAAAAATGGGAGAAGCGCGAGAGAAGCGCGAGAGGAGAGCAATAAAGAAAGGCGAGGCGAGAAAGACCAGGAATGCGCGAGAAAGTTCGGGCAATGTCATGAAAGCTGGGATGCCCGACGGGTGCACCTTCTATTCATGAAATATCGACGGCGATTAACCTGGCATCGTGACCGTCAACGACATGTTCGCAGCCCTGGATCGACGGCGACCAAGGCGCTTGACCCGAAGCCGGTCTTTCTCAAATGATGGCTGACGGACACGAGCTACGTGGCGCATAGGCATTGGGGAACGGAAGACTCGCTGTCGTGGGTTGGTGGTTTCGTTCTGGAATCTGAATCTAAAAATTTGCTCGGCTTTTGGCGGGACTACACGCGAGATAAGAGACGGGGAAACGGGGAAACGAGGATTTATGTACGTGCGGATCAAGCTAATCTCTTTCTGAACGTCTGTTCCTGCGGCAACCTGCTGTGGCCGGAGGTACGCTACGGAGCCATAGCTGAAACTCCCTCCTCAGCTTTGATCCCACACATTCGGCACCATCATCCGCAGCATTTGGTGCAGCACACAAATTGTGCTGCTGGGTTGATTGATGGCGAGACGGTCGCGAGCGAACAAGCGACTACGAGTTTCGCTCTCTCAACATGGAGATGAACACCGACCACACACTGCAGGCGTGGGGGCCTGTGGTGAGGGAGCACTCGGCAAAACCGAGGTCATCGGGAATGGTATGGGATGGGGATTGCGAGGCGACAGCGATGGAAGTTCAATGCAACCCACCCACAAACCAGGGGAGGGGATGGGTGACATGACATGACATGGCAAAAAGGTACAGTACGACAATGGATGCATGTGATGTGATCCATGAACAATGATCCATGTCCAATGACCTTGGACCCTGGACTCACGAAAATCATCACCTCGGACCGAAGTCCTCCAGTCAACCAATCAGATGGGTGGAGAGACGCGAGCGCAGCGACAACAGTGCGTGAGAGCGCAGCGACATTGGCCCAATATTTTGGCCGGCGCTTCTGAAATCCGTGAGCTGCTGCCCGGGATCTCTTGACTTTTCGAGGCAGAATCTAGGTCGCATCGCATAGTATGACTCAATACAGCTTCACATAAACTTCACATTAAGCCTTATTTACATCACATTTATTCAACTGATGGGTGAGTGGTTGGGCGGCATCCCAACCAGGGCTGTCGATTCAAGGGCATATGGCCTTAATGGCCTGAACATTAAGGTCTGAATTTGCTCCAGGGTCCGAATTCTCAGGGTTGATTTTTTGTACAGCCCTGAATTCTAACGGGCGTGGGTAGGGCCTTCCCCTGATTCTTACAGGAGGCACTTTAGGGGTTTCCCTGATTCCCCTTGGAAGTTCCGGGCCTTGCCCGGAAGCGTTCACAGCTCTTTCTCCCCACCCCCCCCCACCCCCCCCCCCCCCCCCCCCCCCGCGTCTCCCTTCCGTCCCATTCCATCCCAGAAGGAAGATAGTTTCTTTTGCTGCCAAGTCAGAGAGAGCACTTGCGTGACTCATCAGAGATGTTATCGGCTGGCTGAATAATTGCACCGTGTTACAATCCCAAGTGGGACTTAGGGAAGGATCGCCCAGGGTTGATCGCAGAGTAGTGTTGCAGCGGAAGTTTAAATCTCAGGTCAGAGTGAATGTAAATGACTGAGTTGATAATAGCATGCACACATCTGGTTTATATAAGAATACAGGGGAATACGAAAAGACCTAGGCTAGCCATGTACTCTAAGGGGTACATTCCCTTATTCTAACCATATTCAAACCGTGCGGCGCGGGAACCCGTTTCAAACCTGTTCCCACTCTTTTCACTTCAAATGTTTCTGCCTGCATCGGTCTTGGTCAGACGGTTGCTGCGTCGCTTCGACTCTTCTGACTCCTCGACTTCGTACTCGGTAGAGTCAGCTCCTGCAGCATACAGGAATGCCTACTCATACAATTTCATATCGTAACACTCCCCTTCATTCCTGGGCGCAGGAGGAGCTGAGTCGCTTGACTACTCCGGTGAGGTCAGAGCAGTGCTTGTACTGCTGACGTGGCAGGCGCTTGGTGAGGAAGTCTGCTGCCATCTCAGTAGTCGGGCAGTAGGCGAGGTCAACTTTTCCTTGGTCAATTTCGTCCTTGACGAAAAAGTACCGGAGTGCGTTGTGCTTCGTGCGGTTCACGAAACCTGGCTTGTTCGCGATCCTGATGGCACTCTGGTTGTCGCAGTGGAGGCGAAAGGTTGGCGAAGTTGGAATTTTCGCTTCCTGTAGCAGCTCCTGCAGATACAGGCCTTCGCGAACTGCTGCTGTCGCGGCGATGTATTCTGCTTCAGCCGACGACAGGGCAACCAGCTCCTGCTTCTGCGAGTTCCAGGAGATTGGCCCAGTTGGTTCCAAGCGAAAGACGAAGCCGGTTCAAGACCGTCGATTTGCAGGGTCAGCTGCATGATCTGCGTCCACGTAGCCGTTGAGGTTGAAGGAGGTGGTTGTCAGCGTGGAGTAGGAGAGCCCAATGTCAGGTGTGGAGATGAAGTACTGCAGGGCGCGCTCCAGGTCCAGCTGGTTCTCAGTTACTGGCTTGCGAGAGTACTGCGCCAGTTGGCTGGCGATGTACGAGAGATCGGGTCGGCAGGTGACAGAGGCGAATAGCAGGCACCCCAATTTCTGCTGGTAAATTTGAAGTCCTGCGGGCGACAGAGGTTTGTTGTCCGGTTTGTAGTTGGCGCTGGGGTTGCGGTAGGGAGTTGAGAGTGGTGCGGGTGAGATGTTGAAACGTTCCCCCAGCTGCTCTGCGTACTTTGAGGCTGACAGGTGAATTGCTTCTGGCGCGTAGGTGATGTTCAGCCCCAAAAACTGCTTCACGTTGTGGTTGATGGCGATGTCCACGCGCTGCGCCAGGTTCTCCTCAAACTGGTTAAGGAGTTTGTTGCAAGTGCCCGTGTACAGCAGGTCGTCGACGTAGACTGTCAGAAGGATGTAATCGCCGCTGAAGTGAAGGCGATACATTCCCGGGTCGTGTGGCAGCTGCTTGAAACCGATCTCCAGGAGGATTTTGTGTAGATGCTGCTGCCAGAGACGGGGCGCCTGCTTGATTCCGTAGAGGGACTTCTTCAGCTGACAGACCCTAGGATCCCCTTCACCGTAGGTGTGTGGCTGCTCCACGAAGATGGTGGCGTCCACCAACGCGTATAAGAACGCGTTCTTCACGTCGATCTGTCGCAGTGGTAGGTGCTTAGCGGCGGCAATGGCGAGAAGGATCCTGACGGAGGTGTGACGACTGACGGGAGCGAAGGTCTGGTCGAAGTCGATGCCGTGGCGCTGATCGTACCCACGTACGACCCAGCGTGCCTTGAATCGCTCGATGGTTCCGTCAGCATTAGTCTTCAGGCGAAAAAACCCATTTTCCGCTGAGTACCCGTCTCCCCTTCACTGTTGCACGATCAACTAGGACCCACGTGTCTCGAGATTCCAGCGCTTTCAGCTCCGCATCCATCGCTGCACGCCACTCCTTGGCGTGAGGGCCGGTCAGGGCCTGACGAGGATTCTTGGGCTCCACGGCCCGTGCAAGAGTAGTGACGGACGTGTGTAAGCCGAGTAGTTGCAGGCCGGACACATTGGTGGTGTCAGTGTTGGTGGGGACTTCCACCACGTCGTCATCTCCGCTCTCATAGCCGGGTGCTGCGGTGCTTGGCTCAGTTTGGCGTCGTGATGGTCCTGGCGCGGGGTCGTCATCGCTGTCATCGCCGTCGTCGTCGCGCGGGCGAGGCGGGATGCTGGGGTGTTCGTCGGTGTCGTCACGGTCCAGTGCTGCTGCTGCTGCCTCGTCTTCTGGAGTCGCGAAGCTGCGACCGCTGTTGACATAGCCGCGTGCCTCGTTGCGTCGCTCGTCCTCGATCCACTGCTTCAAGGTGAGCCACTCGTAGAAGAGAATATCACGGCCGGGAACAACTTCCTTGCTGTCCATGTCGAGGATGAGCCAACCCTTGTGCTCATTACTGAGGCCCAAGTGAATACCCCAGCGCGCGCGATGAACGAACTTGCCGATTGTGGCCGAGGTCGGCCGGTATTGCACCATGCACCCCCAGACCCTTAGCATGGAGGGGTCTCCCCTTGAACCGGTCCACTTCATGTGAGGGGACAGGTTGTCCCTGTTGGCGGTGGTGGAGAGTAGGTTGTGCAGACGCACCGCGTGGTTCATGGCGTAAGGCCAGAACTTCTTGGGCAGGCCGGACTGGTTCATGAGAGCGCGGACTTTTGTCATGAGGGTGCGGTTAACCCTCTCTGCAACGCCTTGCTACTGGTGAGCGTAGGGGAGTGAGATCTCATGCTTGATCCCCTTCTCTGTGAGGACGCTCTCCAGCTCATTGCTGCGAAATTCCTTTGCCCCATCACTCTGCCAGATCTTCAGTTTCCTCCCCGACTGTCGCTGCGCGTGCGCGAGGAAGATGCGGAACACCTCCGGAGCCTTAGAACGAGCGTCAACGTTGGCGATCCACACGTGGCGTGAGTAGGCGTCAATGAAGGTGAGGGTATATTTCTCGCCGTTGATGCCGTCGACGGTGAGCACGATGAAATCGCTGTATACTTTCTCCAACTTCTTGTAGCGGTTGGTGCTCGGCTCCAGGGAGGGGTAGGCGCTGTGAGAGAGGGCGGCTGTGGGGCAGACAGTGCAGGTGACTGGGTGAGGGGTGTTGTGTGGTTCTGTTCCGTCGGGGCGCATAAGTGCTCCTGGTGGAAAGACTTTAGCACGGAGACAGTTGGCGAGGGTCTGGCGCGAGGGGTGTCCCATCCGCTGGTGCCAGAGATCATCTTCGGCGCGGATGCCGGAAGTGCGCTTATAGCGAGCGAGGTATTCTGCTGCTTCTGCTTCCGTGACTTGCGGGATCTGGAGTGGGGGTTCTTCCTCTTCACCTGGTTCCCCTTCGTTGTCCGGCTCCTCTGTTTCTGTTTCTGCCGTTGTCTCCCCTTCTGCAGGTGCCGTGGTGAGGTAGAGGGCGAGGAAGTCGCGGTCGGGAATTATAGTGAGTGGAGTCGTGGTGCCTTCAATAAAACGCGCGAAAGGATCTGGGCGGGAGATTGGACCAAGTGAGTCCCGCAGAGGAGTTGGTGGTACATTCCCCTCCTCAATCTCCGACCAACGATCACGCCATCGATGGGGCGAGGAAGGAGGTGAGCGGGTGCGCGGGGGTCGACCGAGTGGGATGGCGACGCGAGGGGATAGTTCTCCTCGCTCAGCTTGCATCTCGCGTTCCATCTCTTCTTCTTCTTCCTTGGTGATTGGCGCATCCACGTATTCGTTTCCTCCCCATCCGCCGGTGTTGCCCCATCCTTCCGTGTTGACCGTACCGCTGGCGCTGGCTCCCCATGCTCCAGTGGCGGATCCCCAGGTTGCTCCGTCGCCTTCTTCGGGTTCGTAATCTTCATCTCCCCATGCGCCTCGTCGTGCTGTCTCCTCGTCCCATCCAGCCGCGACACGTTCCTCAAACAGTTTCTGTTTCTTTTCCGCCCGGGCCTTGTCTTTTTCTTCCTTGACGCTGAGCTCCTCTGGTGCGTCAGGATCTTTCCACGCCGTGTCAATTTCGCGGCGGTAGACTTCGCGGGTGTAAGGACGTGGTCGTCCATCTTCGTCGAAGGTGGTGGTATTGGCTTCTAGGATGAACCGGAGCGTCTCTCCATATGGTGTCGGTCGTTCGACACGCGGTTGTCC